CCCTAAACCTAAACCCTACCCTAAACCTAAACCCTCATCATTGGCACCCAGTTGATGGCCTGCAAGGCCCAAGGCGGCCCAGGTGGCGATTTTGTCGCTACAGGTCAGCGGGCCCTGGCTTTTGGATTTATATTAGGGTTATATATCGGGGTTATATAAGGATCATGGAAAAGAAAATGGACACTACTACAGTGGGTTATATGGCTTTTGGATTTACTAGGGTACCCAGTTGGGTTATTTTGGGATAATGGAAAAGAAAATGGAAACTACTGTAGTATAGGGTTTAGGGTTTTAGGGTTAACATGGGGTTTGCCTGTGGCTGCAATAACCTACAGTTTAGTAGTAAGTACCCCTTAATTAGTAGGTATAACCCATAAAACTGTAGGGTATTGGGGTTACAGCTAGGGCTTAGGGAGGTTGAGGGAGCAAAAATCCAGCGGTTTGGGGTTTTTGGTTTGGGGTTTAGGGCTTAGGGATTTTGGATTGCGAGGTTCTATGGTTTGGGGATTTAGGATTCAGGATTTAGGGCCCAGGACTTAGGGGTCAAGGTCTGCATGGAATCCCAGCTGCCTAGAGCTTTGCTGGTTCTACCTAGTAAGTAATCGGTTAAGACCCTAAAGCGTACTATTGGCATGTGGACAGCTGGCAGGGTCCATTCGGGCGGGCCATATCGCCTTTGCAGCGTTTAAATTTGAGGAAAGCCTTAAACCGTAAACCGCGGGACACATCCAACGGGAAGTTTATGCCGTCTTGAGGCTTAAGCCTTCCAAGGTTTACAGGTGAGAGGCTTAAGACCAAACTCTATAAGTCAGAAGGTTGGATGTGACTCCTCTACTTTCTGGGACTCTAGGATTACTGAGGGGATTCTTCAAGTTGAGGGTTAAGGTTTAAGGTTAAGGGTTTCGGGCTTTACTTTGAAGGATGCCAGGTCCCTAAGGGATTAGGGAAGCTACTTATGAAGGGCTACAGCGGGGGGGTTCCAAGGGATATGAGGTTTATAGGGTTTTATTCGAGTTTAGGATATATTACCATGCACCAGGGGCTCAAAGTAAGGGCCCCAATGTAAATGTCAGATGCCGTTTTCGGTGCTGGGGCTTGAGGATTCAGGATTCAAGGCTGTGGGGTTGGGGAGTTGGCGTTCAGCGATTCAGAGTTCAAGGATGTAGGGGTAAGGGCTTTATGAGAAAAATGGCTGCTTCAAAGGGTGGAGTAATTTTGCATTGGGGGTTGATAGACGGGGGTTGAAAGATGCAGCCTCTAATTGCCTGGGTCTTGAAAACAATGCTCTGGGAGTTTTGAGGAACGCCTTTAGTGCTAGTGCTGGGGCTCAGATATCAGGGTTTGACACTTGCCGTCTTTTTTCAGAGGGATCGTCTTCAAAATTATCATAGCCGGGGGGGTGGGTTTCTCAATGGCCTGCAGACCACGCCACACTTGTAAAGATCACATACAGGGTTGCCAACAAGTTGCGACTGCAGGCTCGTGATCAACCATCATTGCTGTTTTTTGTTGAAGAAAGTTCACCACTCTTCCATAAGCCTAAACACAAAACCTTAAATCCTACCTAAACCCGGCATCTATAGACATTGACGAAGCCATTCGGCCAAGTTGGAGTTGGACTAGAATCCCATAACTTTCAAGAATCCCACTTGGATACGATTTAATAAACAGAAGAAGGTATTTCCCTCTGTCAGTTGTAGTCGGCTAGAACTCGCCCAGTGTATTCAGCATTCATCCAGCCATGAGTTTCAGCAACCCTTCCAGAAACGTCGGGGTCCAAGTCCCCTATGGATAGCTATCCCCATCAAATCTCCGACCTGCTGCCCGCTGCGCCAATCTGTCAGAAACCTGGCGCGCCACTACACTGGACATTTAGGTTTACATGATAACCTGTTAAAGCGACGGGCTCTTTACAAGTCACAAAATGGCCCTGAACTTGGCCTGCGGTTTAGGGCTCCTGCTTACCCAAAAGGGCTTAGGCTTAGGGATCAGGATCGTGGGTCTGAATCTGAGCGCTTCCCTGAGAGGCCATAGTTTATGACCAGAATATCAACACCAAGATACTATAATGCTTGACCCTAAACCCTAAACCCTATAAACCCTATAAATCCTAAACCTTGTAATAGGGACTCCACAAGGGGCTCCTGTAGTTGTGGGATGCCCCTATATACCCTTAATACCCCTTATATCTCTTCCCCATATCCCCCACACACTCATATGAACCATAATCTAAACTCCTAGTATCCCCCTTTATAGCCCCTATAACACTCCCCTATATAATCCCCTATATAACCCCCTTTAAGGAGTTTAGACTATGGCTCATATGCAAACCCTGTTAAGGATGCCTGCCTCAACAGTCAAGCCACGGGCTAAAGGAAAAAGCCCTGATTTTTGCTTTAGACTTGGCTTAGGGTTTAGTGTTTAGGGCTTAGGGTTTAGGAACCTGCTACGTCATGGACTGTGAGAATGGAAAAATCTCCAACTGTGAACGCAATAAAGTTGAACAACTTCCATCAGGAGCGGCAACATCAGAAGGCTTAAAAGGTCTTGGGGGAATGTCTCTATCTGATACGCCAAGATGCTCGGTTCTCAGGCCCAAAACAACCCTAGTTCCCAAAGCGCTAAGCCCTCAGACCCGTTTCGCAAACCTTGGACATCCGACATTCCTGTCTAACCTTGACAGCCGCAACAAATCCTAATGTTCGTCTTCTAGGATGGCCAGAAACCGTGGAACCACTGTGAATCCATGGAGGAAATCATGCACCACCTGATGCACACTAACAATTTCAATACCTTTGGAACCCCAAGTGGTGAAGGAGTTCCTCCATCAACTGAGACGACGCTGTGATATCGTAGTTTCCATGTTCTTTTCTGCTCCATTTTATTCTCTTACCTAATCCCGAAGATAGCCCCCTGCATGGGAGGTGAGTACTTCAGGCATGGAGCTCTGTGCCCGCTGGCGTTTCGGCCTCGGCCGCGGGGTTCGCAGCCTCCGTCATGCCATGCAGCGATGAGGACTTCTGTGGGATTGGCAGGCGTTAGGGTTGAGAGTGCAGGGTTCGGGTTAGTTAAGCTTACCTGTCATTAGTGGAGAATCAAGGAATGAAAAATAGAATGGGGAAGACCATCCGACTTGGGATTTTATATGGACTGCTCATGGATCCATAACTTCATTCCTTGCTAATCACCGGTGGGTTTAGGGTTCAGGGATTAGGCTTTTCGGTCTAGGGCTGACGGCTAAAGATTTGGGGTTTGGCAGTGTGAAGTTTGTGTTCGGTATTTGGGGTGCAAGGTCCGGTTTCTCGGGGTATCCGGGATTACAGGGCTTAGGAACGTTTAGATAGAAGTTCCACCCGGGTTCTGAAGCGGATATGATAACTCCATGACATTTGTATGCAACGCATCAGGTAGCTTAGGAATAAAGGCAGGATTGGGCAACAGGCTTGAGAGTTGTTTGCTGTAGTTTCGGAAAATTAGGGCTCCTATCTTCGTCTATAAGTCGGAAATACCATGGTGCCCTCAATATGCTTTCCTGTTGCGCTCAGCTGAACTTGCGCGAGGAAATATGAAAGTTTCTCGGAATGAGCCCTGTATAAACCCTAAACCTCAAACCCACCCCGTGTCTTGCGAGATGGGACAAAGAACCTTGACAAACAGAAGAAGCAACCAATGGCAGCCTGCAAAAACTAACACTACTCATACTACTAATGGAACTGGTAATGACAAATATAATGGTAAAAAAGACCAGTATCAAATAAACAGGAAGCCCCTTTTTTCGAAGGTCCAGAGCACCTACAATGCTGCGATCCTCCTGCAGCTAGCATTGGCTCCGTGTTGACGTAACGACCAACAGGGAGAGAAGCCCAAAAGCCTACTTGAAACCTAAGACCCACACCGACACCAAAAGCCCTCTGATCCGCATACAACCCTAATGCAGAATCCTGAAAATTTCCAACACTGTTCCCTAGAAATCCTTCCATCATTGTGTAATAGAATATCAAGTACCCCCGAGTACCAAGTACACCCAAGCTCTTTGAACATCATGTACGGTACAGGCCTGAGCAATACACAAGATCATGAAGCCTATACTTGTGAGGTACTCTATACCACAATTTTACAAGGAATCTAGGACCTGTTTTTGCAAATTCTCCCCTAGCCCTTGTATGAACACAGCTTCCATGTCATGTTCTTTGTTCTTTTCCGTTTAATTCTCCACAATTCCTTATAATAATTGTCTTTCTTTTGGTCCTTTATATCCCTACATAATCCCTATAACCATTTCCAGGCTACGATCTTGGTCACTGATTCGGCCCTAGGGTAGGCCCCGATGGCATCGAAAGCTACTGCGCAGGCCTTGGCCAAAAAGGCGCCCTGCCCTTCGTTTCGGGCCTGGGAAGACTTAGGGATTCCTTTACACGGAAGGAAGGGGTTCTAGAGGATTTGAGAGGCCAGATAAGGGTTCTATATGGGTTTAAAGGGGAGATAGGGGTTCTATAGGCATTTAAAGGGGGGAAAGTGGCATAGGGGTAGGGGTTCTATGAACCCTTAAAAATGGTGTTAAGGGTTCTATAGGGAAACAAGTTTAGCGTTGAGGGATAGCACCCTTCATTTCGGGCCTGGGAAGATGGATTTGCAACCTTTCCAAAATTAGGCCCCCCTCATATACAACTGTAAACTGCAATCTTCATTATGATTCTGGGGACCCCAAAATGGTGCCCCTAATTTCGGAAACCCTGAAATTTGCCAATGTTTTGAGATCACCGGTTCCAGGGAGGGTCTAGCTTTACAGTTTTAGGGTTTCAGATCCCGAAAGGTTCCCCAAATACCTGAAGTTGCTGAAAAGGAACCCGAAACCCTACGTAAATCCTACACCTTAAACCCTAAACCCTAAGGGTTGCGCAGCTCAGGGTTCTGTAATGTAGAATATAGGGATTATATAAGGATAATGCAAAATACAATGGAAACAGCTCTTTAGGATTTTGGGTTTAGGATTGGGCATCGGTCGCTACTTCATCGATCAGCCGCCGGTCCTCCACGCCAGCAACAAGCGCGAAAGAGGGGTGAAGGCTTTCTAAGGCAAGTTACTGGTGCTCTTTATGGTCCTCACACCCAGTATATACACTCATCAACATTCCTAAGGAACTCTGACTTCATTTGACCCAAAACCACAAAACACAAGCCCTACTTCATATAGTTAATACAAACCATACAGCCACTGCATCTTTTCCATTTGATTCTCTATGTTTGGGCATGTCTCGACTTATCCAAGATTGTGGTTCCATCCTTGAGGTCCTGGTTTGCATATTTAGGGTTGAGGGTTTGGGGTTGAGGGTTTAGGGTTTAAGGTTGAGTGTTTGGGGTATGCTTTTCAGGGTGCGAAGACGGTTCCTAGAGTTGCCACATATACGCATGACCACCCGCTGACAAACAACATTCTGTAGGACAAGCTTCACTGAATCCTAAGTCCTCGGCCCTAAACTCCGAGCTCTACACCCAAAGCCTCAACCTTAAACCAAATAAACAAAAAGCCACAAGAACAATCCGAAACCCTAAACCCTGAACCCTGAACCCTAAACCCTAAACCCTGAACTCCAAACCCAGACCAGCTACATGCAGGTGGATCTTCGGATGCAGCTGCTTTGGCCACTCCGTGGACGCTTGCGCGTCATGCTTGGGGCATGCTCCTGGCAATGATTATATAGGGCTAGGGTTTAGGGTTTAGGGTTTATAAGGCTTAAACCCTTTTTAGGGATTATCTAGGGCTTATATAGGGATAACGGAAAAGACAATGGAAACTACTATAATGGGTTATATAGGGTATCTATTGGTGTAGCGTTTGGGGTATGGGCTTCAGTGTCTGGGCTTTGGGGTCGGCATAGGGGTTCCGAAAATGAACGTGGAAGAACAGTCGTGGAGACAGCATCCCATTTGGGATTCCACATTAATTTGCGGTTGCGTGGAGTATCTTGCCCACCGCGCTGAGGCCTTCAAGCCCTAACAAAAACTGCTATACTATCCTCAAAAGGGAATCCCAAAATCACTTTGTAATCCCAAATAACCTGCTCTGGTCGGAGGAAGCCTTGCATCACCCCATATGAGATACCTTAGCGAAATGACCGCGTATTAGGGGTCCTGGGCGGTGCAAGATATTCTCCATCCACTTTACGGTCCCTGAACCCTAAACTTTAAGCCCTAAAACCCAAAACCCTAAAACCCTAAAACCCCAAACCCTAAAACCCAAAACCCCAAATTTCGACCCCAGGGCTCCGGGTGTTTGATACCCTTTGTCCCAATCGCTGGTCTTGCTGGTTTTTAGTAATTAGGGAATGATGGAATGGAAAAGAGACATGAAAACTACTATGCAGGGTTAAGGCAATGGAAAAGATGAAGCATGTACTGCTGGGTTGCTGTTAAGGACCTTAAATTAAGTTACTATATTGGGGAATGCCTATTATTTACTGTGTATACCCATTATGGTAACTTAATTTACATTCCTTAACAGCAACCCAGGTTGTTGAAGGTTTAGGGCTCTGGGTCCAGGAGATGGAGAAGGAAATGTGAATTCTCATATCATTGGAGAGTTATGTCAATATGCACGGGGTGCTGTAGGGGTCCTTTCCTCTCTTAATACTAACCCCTAAGGCCTAACGCCCGAACCGCGTACAACATCTGAGCTACTCAAAAGAGTGAGTGCCATCGCAGGATTACCGCACTGACATTCTACATGGGGTTTACAGGGGAGTATAGGGGCCCCTGCAGCAAAACGTTGTATAATTTACTGGTGCCTGAGGGGAGTAGGCCCCAACACTATCATCACTAAAAGATCTGAACATAGACCTCCAATTATTTCATTCCCGCACAACCCCGAACTCTAAAATCCTTAGCCCTCCCCCATACGCACGAGTAGGCCCTAAACCCTAAACCCGAGTTCGAGGTTTTTGCAGCTGAGGCTGGCAGATCAAAGAAGCTAGCTTGGGTCATTCCCCCACCCAGTAACTGTCCTTAAAGGGGGCCTTATTAAGCGGCTACGATAATTCCTAGTACCCCTTGTGGCAACAGTTACTGTAAGGGGGAATAACCCAAAAGCTAGCTTTGAAAGGAATCTCGAGGGGAAGCTGCAGGTGTCTTCCTGTCGTCATGCCATTTACCTACAGCCGTGTGGCTTAGATCTAGTAACTAAGGACTAAGCAACTAAGCTTGAACAAGTTGAGGTTACCGGCTTATCCCGCGTTGGGTTATTATGATTTTCAGCTAGAAGTTTATATTTCGTATTGGGTTTTAACAATACCTACCGAGTATTTGTTCCAACAAAAATCCACTGCTCAGTGACAGAACTTAGTTTGTTGGGTCATCTAGTTAACTGTCCCGAGAACTTTCCTTGGATGGCCCACTTCAAAAAAACGCATACCTGAACACCCAAAGTCTATAGACCACCAACATGTTGACTATTTGCTGGGGACATTGTTTTGCCTGCTTTTGAGGTCCAGGTCGTCAACACTATGGAGAGGAAGGATTTCAAGTTGCAAGCACCGCGCTTGCTGCTCAAACCTGGACAATAAGCTTGCAACCTTCTCTTCTCCACTCTCAACACCATGGAAGGGTTCAGTCTACACTCTTAGTATCCCCCTTAAAAGCCTTTGTAATACTCCCCTATATAATCCAGTTTCTAACCCCCTTCAAGAAAATGAGACTATAGCTCATAGGACTTCGGGCTTCTTGCTTTATGGTTTCTGCCTGTGCACCGTCCAGACCCTCAACCAGGGCTCAACTACAAGTCCCGAAATCCCCTCAAACATCTGCACTCTTAAGCCTGAAATCTCCGTCCTTGAATCCTATTTAATTCCAAAGCCCGGAATGCTCATACACACGCTTATACATCCACGTACATATGTGTATAAATATACACACATACACATGCATGTGCAGATATACATACACCGATACACATGTGCATGTCTCCTACAACATTGCAAGCCCGAAGCTAAACCCGAAACTCTAAACTCCTTCATCACCTTAAACCCTAAACTCCTTCATCACCCTAAACCCCAAACCGCCTAAACCCCTTCATCATGCGCTACCCGAGTCCCTGGCGCCTCCCTTCGCCCAGCGCTTCCATGAGGCGTTGCCACAAGGCACAGAGGTGGTGTAGAGATGCAGGGAGGTGTCCTCAGGGTTTAAGGGTTTTAGGGTT